ATAGAAGAAAGGATGTTTATAAATTTGTAATGAAACTATTCTATATTCACACAAAAATATAGTTTGCAATAAATGCAACAATAATAGCCAAGAGCCAACAATTGCAAAATTTGCAGGGAAGAACATAATAATCATCATCATCATCATCAGCATCATCATCATCATCTAATTGTGCAACGAAGCGACAAGAAAACAATGTTTTGTGAAAAGAAACCCATTTACTATGCCAATGAATGCCATAAATGCCATCGGCAAGTGAGGAAGTTCATAAATTTTCAATATTATTTTTTGTTAACTGTTTCCCCTGCTAGCAGACACACTTCACCCCGAAAACAGTGCAATACTCTGTCGGCAATCCATCGATGGATAATTCTTGATAATAGCCTGGTTGACCGGCCTTTCAAGCCTCGACTCATCCACGCAGAAGTTAAGTGGCTTTAGGCTTCGAGCGACAGGGTAATGGTGGAAAAGCCTTCAGCATGGAAATACAGTGATCCCAGCAATTGGGTATAGCTCCGAGTACCTCAAAAGCATGACATTAAGTCACACGGTTCATGTAATTCGTCTTATACCACAGATGTTGATGAGAGCCGCGCCTGCAACGATTTCCAGCTACTTTGCTAATCATTGCCATTTCTTTTAAAGGCCGAAGGTGAACGCTCCGATTGCTTAGGATTTTAGGAATGTAATATGTGATTTTACACAAAAGTACCGTCATATGTTGGTTGAAGTATTCGCCCCAGTGGTCCTTTTTTTTGATATCATAGAGAATCTGTTGAAAGATGTTATGTCCTTCTTTAGTGTTTTAGATAATTCCTCATCCTTGCCATTCCAGTAGAAATTGTTTCTTTTCGTATCTACTGAAGTGAAGGCGGCCTTCAAGAAGGCTCATACTCGTAGTCATCCGATTAGCAAGATAATCTCACATAATATTCTACAATTGAATTTAAGCAACTTTGTCCTGACAACATTTTAAAAATTAAGCCTCCTCCATGCTGAACTCATCACTAATAGTAGATATAGCTAGCTCTGCTCAAGCATCATATTATATATATAAATAGCGCACTGTAATCGCGAAGCGGGTTTCGGCTGAACTTCCAATTTGTAGTGGGCGCCTGTGCTTCCAACAAATGCAGGGATCTACTTTTCATTATAGCCCGTCTTTGAAGGACCGATGGACTTTTTTCATGAGTAGCTTTTATATCATGCCCGAAATCCAATCGGAGGGGTTGACAGTCCCTGCTGAGGGGTGACCGCAATTTGAAAATTCCATTTCTGTAATTTTCTTTGTTAGTCGGACCAAGACTCGAACCCTGTCCCAATGCGCTATATAATATACAGAAATTGGCACTTTGTAACCGTTGAAGTTATTTTCGGCCGAGCTCCTTCTCCAGTTTTTGGTTGTACGTTTTGTTGTTTTTCCAACAAATTGAGAGTCCTATAGTTTACACTAAACCGCCTCCAAACGGATGGGGGTTTTCTTCATGAGGAGCTTTTATATCCTGTCCGAAATGCACTCAGAGGGGTGGACATTCCCTGCCGAGGGGCGACCGCAATTAGAAAATTTAGCTTAATTTTGTATTTAAATTAATTTTCTATAAGTTTTGGATGTTGGACGCACCAGGCCGAAAATCCCGGGCCTTCCGAATGGCCATATGCAATGCTAACCACTCGACCATCGTGGCCGCCAAGGAGCTACATCTATATATATCTATGTACTGATTTAATTCCGTAAGCAACTGTCCAAAGGTGACAAAACCTCGTAAGAACTTGATAGGAGGAGTTTTCTGTCTTGATATTTTCATTAGCGAGAGAGTCAGGTTTCTAGACTTCAATTTCAGATTGAGTGGTCGAATGTCTTGACCAAGGACAGAACATTAGAATAGGTAAACGGTAGCCATAGTTACACCGAGATTTAGCCGAATCGTACTGGATATTTAAATACGAGTGGGGAAAGGAAGTTAACTTCATTTTTAGCTGAGACACTTCCAACACTGAAACATGCCTCTTTATAGCCCATAACTTATTTCCAGATAAGAGCGAGATGACCTTCGAAGTCGATGTTAGTTTCAGGAATATTCAAAAAAAGGTTTAGTGCATGAGAAATGGTTACTAGTATTCCAAAACTATCAATTTTATTGTCAATATTTCCTCATAAGATTCATTGCCTGTTGGTATATCTTCAGTAGGAGATGCAGCGATCTTTAAAAACTCGGAGAGCTAAAATCATCTAACTTGGATTGAATCTATAGAATCATGAGCCTACAAATTTTCTTTTGTTTTGAAAAACTAGGAAAGGGGTCTTACTTAAATACTACTACTTTCGATCGGTTCAATTCAAGTGGCTTAGCCGATGACCAACAATAAATCCACTGAATCTCCTCATTTTTGAACATTTGGAATAATTATTAGAGTTTCCAGGGCAAAGGGATCGAGTTTAATCCCATAAATCTAACAGAGTTATTCTTGTGGGAAAGATAAAAAAAAAATTGTTTATTTTCGGAATTTTAGGAGCGTGCGAACTTTGTAGGCGTGTTACTAGTTTCGCTTCCGCCTTTGCTTAGTCAAAATTGTCGATTCAACGATGCATGCAGTTGATATCACAACATCCGCCAATATATATTTCCATAAGGCGAGCGTAGGCAAAAGTATTCACGAAACCCACAACACACACACACCCACACACACCCACACACACCCACCCACACATACTTCAATGTTGAGCAGTAATGCAAACAAACGAGGAAATATCTCTATAACTGTGCGTCCAGCGTCGAAAGGAAGGCGTAGTAATATGCCAAACGGATGGCCAAATAAAGACTCGCCCATACACATGCATTCCCTTATCCATTTATACATAAACACGTTTGTACATATGTATATAGGTATGTGTGCACTACATTATTAAGGAAAATAACGGGCCACTAAACCATAACAGCAACAATGTGTTAAAAGAGAATTTATCGCCCGCCAATGATGATGATGATGATGGTGTTGACAGAAAAAATGTCGATTTAAGCCAATAAAGTCCATGATTGGTGTGTGGGACATGCAGCAGCAAAAGAAGATAACTATGGAAGGTGGACTTGCAGGTTTAAGCATTCGAAGAAGTGATTTCTTGTATTCAAACCTCTGCTGCAAAAAGGCAATGAAAGTGAAAAAGTGTGGGTAGAGACATTAAAAGCTCTACCCACACTTTTTACACTTCGTATTGACGGGAAAAGCCGTAAAATATTAAAAATTCGCCATGAAATTCTTTTTTAAGTTTTTTTTTTTGATATCTTCACATTTTAGGAAAAATAAATTTATGAACTATCAATGTTTCTTTCACTCCAAACACGTTTTAGGAACATATCAAAACGGAATAATTTTTTTTCTTTTCTTGGAACTCATAATAAAGTAGATCAAGTTAGGTTTACCTGGTTGCCTCTTTAGGGAGTCTCACATATAATCAAGTATACTACCCTATACTGCATGTGACCAAGCCTATATCTTGCTACACCAGTCTGAAAAAACATTTCTTTTCTTTTAGTAAATTGGAGCAGAAGTTTCGGGCTGTTGGCAGCTGCAGACTAGAGATCCAGCAATTTATCCCCACCAATTGATATGATTCTCTGTCTGCCGAACGCTGAGCACTCATAGATTACATGTTGTACTGTCTCTCCCTTTGTATTCCTTGCATTTCGTGCATTTTTTACCGTCAACGAGACTTAATTTGAAGGCATGAGACTGCAACATCAACGGCCTGTTAATAACTTTACTAGTAGTCTGGACCTATTTGTTGCCATTAGAAACTAAATTAGCTTTGTGGCGTTTGTTTTGCACTACATTGGAAGCCTTCTGCTGATACCCTAGGTCTATTAGCCTGATGATACAGAAGTATTTCTTGCGTGTGCTTTACTTCAATCAATGAGACTTGTAAGTCCAGGGCTACTTCGTATTCCGAGCGTATTCCTTCCTTCTTTGTTTCCTCGATCCACTTAGGCCGGATAGCCAGTATGAATGATCGTTTTATTTCTAGTTGGGCGCAGTGAGCTGCACTCCTCCCTCTTTCCTTTTTGTTTCAGAATGATCTGTAACATTTTTAGAAGCTCTGTCCACAAACTAAAGTCCTTTGCTTGAACCTACCATCGGTAGTATTTTTGTTGTGCTTAAGTGCTCAGGTAATGTTGATTATTGTCTATATTTAAACTCTCTCCAGCTTTTCCACTATATACTATAAGTCCTGAGAAAAGTAATGGTTTCACTAGCCCAACGAACATCCAATGTTAGCCCGCAAATGCAGCGAGCTATCGTAAATCAAAATGTCATCTTCGTAAATTATAAACAAGACAGCCTCCGCACTTTCTATCTCTCTCAGCAAAGGTGAATATATCTCTTCACGCGGCATCGCTCGCGCAATCACTTCTAGTCTCCACTGGCTCTGAATTTTTCTGTAATTTAGTTAGGCGGTTATCCAGAACTGAAGAACAAGATTAATTCCTTTCGGTTCTCACAATTCTACTAAGGTTTAGGCATGTTGAGTAACGCTCCGGGTCCTCACACTGTGGGATGCTGTTTGGAATCGTACTTGTGGAACCAATGCTAAACTGACCATTTTCGAATTTGCTTAGAAGAAATTAAGCAAAATGCACTCGAGACTCTTTTTGGGCTTCACTTAAAATTCGTGGTCCCCATTGAGCAGATGAGACATCTGAGCACAATTTTAAAGTAAATTTCATCATTTCATCTTTCTGTTAGGTGGCAATTATTCCGAAAATATTCAAACTTCACGTTAACACTCTATGGGTTTCGATGAAGCTATCCAGAAAATCGTAACAAAATCGGCTCAGTAGTTTCTCAGTCTGTAGGCATCATAGATACATACATATATTATATATAGAAGCATATTTGTTCAACGTCACATATCCCAGATGCCATCATCGCCTTCTTGCATCTCTTCTTTCTTAAAATTGCATTTATTCAAGTTTTTTATTTTACCTTTCTGTCTCTAATTTCAGGTGGGCCCATTATCATGGCATGCAATGTACAACCACAACAACAACAACAACTACAACAGCAGCAGCAGCGGCTTACCGAACATGGCCATTCATTAAGGCAACAATGTATTAGGCAACTGCAAAAGCAGCAACCACAACAACAACATCTGCAACAACAAGAACAATCAACATCCTTACAGCAACAACAACAACAACCAGAAAATCAACCACAGCAAAAACAACTTGAGCAGCGTCAGCGTCAAATAACGGCAAAATGCCAGCAATTGTCGCAACAAAAACAACAACAAGACGAAGAACGCCAGTCGTTGGTGCAGCAGCAGGAGCAAAAGCCACAGCTGAAGCAAGTGAACTCCAGCTGGCATTGCTCTCTGGATGCAACACTTAAATGGTTCCACCGACCAACGACTGCCGTCACTTTGTTGCTGCAATTGGTGGTGTTGTTGTCGTTAAATGCAACGGCTCATGGCGAAGGCAATGTTGGTGAGTATCCGTAGATGATTTCTTTTCGATTATCGCTTAAGCGTAAGCAATAACGTAAAGTGTGACCCAATTGAAGGCCATAAACACATACAAACGCACATGTGCATACATAGATATACACTTTATATGAAATATGAACTCACATGAGCTGAGAGCTGCCTTTGCTATTGAGTATGTGTTTATTGCAATCGTTGTCAAAGCTCAAAACAATTTGTGGAAATCCTTTCACCATCAAAATTGCACACCTCAAGCCGTGCTCACCACACTCTCCACCCAGAAAATTAGTAAACGCATTGCTTTTGTCTTCGTTGCCTTTGTTATTTTCGAAATTAATTTGCTTCAACACATGGAGGTATCGGTTGAGTATGAAATCCCACACATACATACATACGTATTTACCCAGCCCCATGGTTAATAATGCTTTTGTTACATTCATTCACAGCGCCTTTCGGCTGCGCGATCTACGGCCTCTTGGCTTTTGTGGTTTGTGGATATGAAAATTCCAATATGCATTAGTAGTCAAATTTTGTGGTTTAGGAAGTTCACCTCTGCTCACGTCCAAATATATTTTGGTTTCTCAGTGCAAGGATACACATACACATGTATGTATGTGCATTGTTCTTAGTCATGCACATTAAGAGAGCTGAATTTACAATGTACAATTAAGGTTTTAGTAAAAATTTCAGACGATGTTAGGTCGAGTAAAAAGTTCGTTCGGTTTTTATTGATTTTTCAATATATGATAAATTTGTGTAAGTCAAATGTGCGCCGTTTTGTTCGTAAACTTGTTGCCAACGAGATGCCAACTTCAATATACGCCTCTCGTAGAAGACTGCGTCCCTATTGGCAAAAAACTCGAAGAGCAAAATTTCACAGGCCTCTTTTGAGGCCAACTTCTCACCATTAAGCTTGTTCGACATGGATAGGAAAATATGGTAATCACTTGCTTAATCGTTAATTTTCATTTTGATGAAAGAAAAGTGATAGAGTTTTCTTTGTTTTGCAACAAAGATATTTTTTAGTATTACAAAGAAAGGATAGCAAACACTTTCGGGATCAGTGATCTTTGCATGACTTACCTGTGCCTGGAAATCCAACGCAGAATCACTCTTGCCAACAAGTGCTTCTTTGGACTGAGTCAGCAATTGAAAAGCAAAGTTCTCTGTCGGCGAACTAAAACCAAACTCTGCAAACCCCTCATTTTTCCCGTCCTGCTATTTGGGGCGGAAGCATGGACGATGACAACACCTGATGAGTCGGCATTAGAGGAGTTTTCGAGAGAAAGGTTTTGCGTCTTATTTATGGTCCTTCGCGCGTTGGCGACGGCGAATATCACAGACGATGGAACGATGAGGTGTACGAGTTTTACGGCGGCATTGATTGAGTTCAGCGAGTCAAGGAGCAATGGCTACGCTGACTAGGTCATGTGGTCCGGATGGATACGAATAATCCAGCTTTGAAAGTTTTCGATGCAGTACCCGCCGGTGGAAGCAGAGGAAAAGGAAGACCTCCAATCCATTGGAAAGACCAGGTATAAAAGGGACTGGCTGTATTTGGTATCTCCATTTGGCGCCAAGCAGCTAAAAGAAGAAACAAATAACGCAATTTTGTTAACTCGGCTACAATTGCGTAAGCGGTATCTACACCATTAAAATAAGTAAGTGAATTATTCATGAAGGACGATCCATTTCTAGGCTCCCTGCCTAAAAAAGTTAAAATTGAATGGGGAATATTTTTTATCATAGAAAGAACATTCTTATTTGGAATTTGGTTTTTGAAGATTATCTCTTTGAAATGTTGGCCGCGGCTTCATCTCCGATGGTGCATCTCTTGAGTCTTATTTTCGATGACTGGTTCGGGCATGTCAACTGGTAACTGGCATATGACATGCATGGTGTTTTTCTCCAAGGCCTGAATCAAAGCGGGATTGTCCGAGTAGACTTTAAACTTTACATATCCTTACAGAAGAAAGTCTAACGGTGTGATATCACACGAACTTGATGGTCAATCGACCGACCCAACATGTGAAATTCTCTGCTTACCGAAGTGTTTTCTCAATAAATCCATTGATTGATGCGATGTGTGGGAATTGGCGCCTTCTTGTTGACACCAAATGACGCCGAGATCACTAGCTTCTATTCCAGGCATCAAATAGTCGGTTATTATTGCGCTTTAACTCTCGCTATTCACAGTTACAATACGTTCGCAACGGCATCATTTTTGAAGAAATATGGGCCGATGACTCCAGCAAACAAAGCACACCAAACCACAGCTTTTTCTTGATGAAATGGCAGCGCAGGAATCTTTTCTGGTTAGCTCTTTGTCCTAAATGCAGCAATTTTGCTTGTTTACATACTCATTGAGCTAGACATTGCTTCATCGCTCAACAAAATTTGGCTCGAAAACGTCGGATCTTCTTAAGCCTTTTCAAGAGCCCATGGGGCGAAGCGATGTCGCTTGGGAAAGTCAGCTCGTGCACCAGCTGTATTTAGTAGGCTTTCTATTTAAAGTCTGGACGTCAAATGCCCCAAGTCGTTTCGTATGTCAGTCCGAGCTGCTGCGAACGATGCCGAATCGACTCCCCACGGTCATCGGGTACACTCTCAGCTACGGCCGCTATATTTTCTTCACAGCACCAAGTGGTCTATTCGGTCGTTTATCGTCCAATAATAAGTGCTAGGTCTCAAGATTTATATTGATCATGAAATATTGACGCTTAGAAGCGGCCAGCTTTGGCCCTCTGGAGAATAATTGTATATCAGCAGGACAACACCAGACAGCACGCATCGATTGTGACTCGACAGAAGCTCTGAGAGTTTGGCTGGGAGGTTCATATGCATCCAGCTTATAGTCTGGATCTTGCACCAAGTGAATGCTATCGGTATATTTTAAATGGCGCTGAATAACCGCTGAAGCGATTTGGCCAAGGTCCCCCTACAATTTTTGGTTTTGCATATTGATGATTTTTCAACAAATGGAGGGGCCTACAGTTTATACTAAGCCACCTTCGAACGGCCAATGGGTTTTTAATATGGAATCTTTATTTCATGTCAGAAAAAGACTCGGAGAGGTTGACATTCCCTGCCAAGGGGCGAACCCAAATAAAAAAATTTACTTCGATTTAATGAATTAATTTATTTTCTATAACAGGATGTGAACTCGGGTCTTCCGAATAGCAGTACGCAATTCTAACCACTCGGCTACCGCGGCCGCCAATGGTGAATGCTTTGGCTGGTGAATGAGTTGTTCTCAAGAGAAGCCTTTGAAAATCGATTCCACAATTGTTTGCCCAATAGGACACGGGTTTTTATGACAGAGACATAAGCTCTAAAATAATAAACAGCTATCAAGTATAACTGTGCATATTTGACATAAATCGGATAACTCTATGGGTGCAAAAATAATGGATTACTTTTTACTGGATCTATGATTAAAATAAAAGCTTTCGTTGGCTGAGTAAAAGCTTAAAAGCTCAAGCACAAAGTTCTTATTAAATTTCTTTTTTCTTTGAAAACCTTAATTTATTAATTAATCTAATTACTTTGCATCATTTGATTTAAATTCCATATAAAAGCTACTTCTGTAAAGACTCTACTCTCTACAATCCACCTCTTCATACAAATGTAAGTATGTAACACTTGTTTTCTTTGTAAACTTAAAATGAATACATTTTAATCAACAGACTCGCCACGAACAAGTGGTGGGTTTTCAATATTAAATGTAATTGAGAACGAAAGCGCTGTACCGTTAGTTAGAACTTGCATAATGATGTTTACACTGCAAGTAACTGATTATATATCTAGATAAGCATACATTGTTATATATGTATTTTATGTATGTATTTAGCTACATACATATATACGTGTATACTTTGTGCATATATATTGTACATATATATTATTCCCCCTACACCAATATATAGTTTTCCTATAACCCACATCAAATTCAAATACACAGACACACACACACACACACACTCAGGTACGCTCGTAACCTGATAGAAATTGGAATTACAATTACAAATGATCAAATAACAACCGGACTGGGTCCAGCATTCAACTTAACTACATTATAATGCCATTTCAACAAAGTTCGTGAGTCAAATGCAAATGGGAGCGCACAGCCAGTGGGCGAGGTGAGCGGAGTGAAGGGTAAATAAAAATTCAACAGGGAGCGTTGAAAGCCAAGTTATAGTAGAAAATCAGAAAATTTATTTAAAAAGGGGCATATTAGAGAGACCCAAGCGAGAGGGGGGGGGGGGGCGAAGTAAATTACAAAAAAAGGGTAGTAAATTTGTATTTGCATTAGAAGGCAGACGAGAGAGTGAGCGTATAATAATAGTAAGAGCAAATGTTGGTTCAATGTATATGTATACGTATATGTGTATATGTGTATTACACAAACAGAATAGGTAAAACAGTCGGGAGTTGGTGCGCTGAAAGTACTAACATAGGCGACCAGTTGATTTATGATTTAACTGGAGAACTGGCACTGCTGCGGTGTACAGTGAGAGTATGACTCGTGTAGACAATTTACTCATACGTGTTTGTATCTACGTGTATGTATGTATGTGTAATTGTTGCAAATATATCAATGGCTATGAAATCAGGTCAAATGTGGCACAACATTTTAATGAGCTTCCGAAAAATTTCCCATGACGAAAATTAAAATTATATGAGCGTTGAGAATTTATTACAGTGAATTACACAAAATGCTTACAAACATATATGTACTTGTGAAGATGAACGGATGAAAGTATATTTTTTGAGGTGCACATGAGAGCATACGTAAGCATAACGTTTGGTGACAAAATAATCATGAAAAGGTCGATAGAAAATATTTTATAACAATTAGGAGTAGGGACTTGAAAGGCAAATTAAGGACAGTTCGATCGATTAGAATAAAAAATAAATATGAAGAAAGAGAATTAGAAGAATAAATACCAAATTATCCACATCGTTCAACTTTTCTTTATCTTACTTTGGTGCTCACTCAGCACT